CATCAAGCTGAATTAATTTCAGTGGTGTTGGACTTCACAAGGGCGGGTCTGCAGCAAGACAAGGATATTCGTAACCAGGTACCATCATGTGCAAAAGCAGATAAGTTTGTTCATTCAAGATTCTGATGTCTCTTCAAATGTTAGTAGAATAAGAGCTCACCAAACCAAGGAAGATATAATTGGCTTCTAAATTGTCAGTACAAAGGTCTGTCTTAAGCATGATACTGATGGATTCGATTACTACAGGTGGAAGTTGAAACCAAGTCTGTGCTTTCTTCACCGAAGGAATCTGATGTTGAACCTTCAAACTCGAGAACTCGAGTGAAGAGTAAGATGCTTGCCCCATAGCTCCTGAAGGTATGATGTTTTCCGGATTTCAGGATAATTAGTAATGCAAAAGACTTGCATGAATTCCCTCACTGTGTTAACTACTATAGCTGCAAGAACCATTAATTGCTGTTTTCTTTCTACCATTGATGTCAATAAACCTTTTTCATATTTGCTTCATGCAGAATATGTTGCAGAGAATCCAAATACAGTCGAACAGCCAATAATGTATCTTAATATGCTCTACTACTTGGAACATGATTCGGACTAGTTTTCTCAAAACATAAAATGAACATGTTGATAGTAGCACTTTCAAACTTTACCGAATTTGTAGCTAACATGACGAGTTTTTCACTTTGTTCTCCAACTTAAGAATATGAGAGTGGTTGTTGCTGCTGCTGCTGTGGCGGTTCTGGCCATATTTGCTAAGCCATGTATGGGAATACTTGCCCATACAAAGCTTGATCCACCACAGGTTTACATGTGATCATTCTAGGAATTCCAACCTGCGGTGAACGTTGAGGCATGTAATAAATATGAAGAGGGCCAGCAGGACACCTCCAAAAGGCAGCATTCCTCCTTGGGCATTGAGGCAAGTACCTCATCTTTCAAATCCTCGTTGGGGACAATGTCCACCAGGAAGTCAAAGATATCAATTCTTGTGATTGTTGCAGCAAAGTCATTCTTCTGGAATGCTCTATGCTTGTTCTCCTCTGTGCGGTTCCATGAATGTAGTGTCAAATCCAAGATGAACATACATCTCACAATCCCTGGAAAATACAACAGGAGCCTCTGTTGATATCAGTCTTCCATCCTCATCAGCCTTCATGATTTTCTTGATCCTTGCCAATGGAAGGCTGTGGTTCTTTAAGTCAGTGGTATATATGCTCAATTTCTTTGTATTGGTTTGACCAAAAAGCCAGGAGTTGCTCCAGTTGATGTTGCTACTACTGGTGGAGGTGCTGATGAGCAAGTTTACTTATATCTTTAGTGGTTAATCCAATGGTTATCCACAACCTAATCCAACCCATTTAAATTGACCCAATAGGTGATCAAACCCATCTCCAGCCTGCCAAGTAAATGGGCGGGTTCAGTGGGTTGGATAAAAAATTGCCACCCCTAGCTGCAGTGATGAAATAGGAGAGAACGAAGGGGAAAGAGGAGAGAGAGAGAAAGAGAGTGAAGGGTAAAATTGGATTTTAATAAATATTATACGTCACATAGTGTGACATGTATTCGGAATTTAACAGAATATTAATGGATTGTAACGGTAAGGGTAGAGCTAGTCAATTGTCAGAAACAGTAAAGATAATTTTAAAAAATATTGAAAAGGTAGGTATACCTTAGGAATAGTTTAAGAAATTCTCCCTTTTATTCATACTCCTGCTTTGTATGGATTTTTACTAGACTTAGCAATTGGGTTGGGTGGGTTGGGTTCAGGTTGGGTCAAGACACTTTGGGTTGATTTCAGGTTGGGTTATCAAATGCTAGACCCTAACCCTAAATGTTCGGGTTAGGGTTGACCCATGGATCAATTCAGGTTATCTCAAAAAATAACTGAAATTTAAAAAAAATAAAGAAAAACTCCATGAAAAATGCCAAAATTAAAAGAATTAACCTTACAATTCCAAATATAAAATAAAAAAAAAACTTGAACAATTAACAATTTAAAGAGTAAACAATAAAGAGTAAAGACTAAATAGAAAAAATTAAGGAAAAATTCTCAATAGGTACCCTGTACTTTAGGCTGAGTGCCAATTTAATACCCAAATTTTAAAATGCGACAATCTAGTACCTGAACTTTCAAAATGCGACAATTTAGTGCCTACCGTTATGGGACCATCAGTTATATATATCATGTGACCTCATGTGCAATTTAAGACTTTTGAAAATGTCACAAGTATCCTTAAAAATAAAACACATTGTTCATCATCTTCTTGAAACAGAGCCCAAGCTCTCAACAGTCCAGACCATACGCTAAACGACAGATAATGTTGTGACTGCTGCATCCCTTTTATTATCACCGGTAATGGCTCCAAATATCCTTTTAATGATTCTGGGTTTGAAGGTTGTGTTATTCTGAACCGGATTGACTTCCTAAAGAGGATTGAACCCAGTGTCTACAGAGTGGGAAGTGGTTACCAGTTCAATCGGTTAGGCGTGCAGTGCACTAATGAAGGATTTTCTGGTCTTGAATTTGCTTCTGGGATTCCTGGGACCGTAGGTGGAGCTGCTTACATGAATATGCTGGAGCCAATGGACAGGTAATCCTGCTCCGACCTGCTTGGAATTGTTTGTCAAGAGATTACACCAGTGCGGGTTTATTATATAGGAGATTGCCAATGCCATTGATACAGTTAACCCGGCGTCTACAGAGTAGGAAGTGGTTACCAGTTCAATCGGTTAGGCGTGTAGTGCACTAATGAAGGGTTTTCTGGTCTGGAATTTGCTTCTGGGATTCCTGGGACGTAGGTGGAGCTGCTTACATGAACGTTGGAGCCAATGGACAGGTAATCCTGCTCTGACCTGCTTGGAATTGTTTGTCAAGAGATCACACCAGTGCGGGTCTATGATCTTTTATATGTTTATTATATAGGAGACTGCCAATGCCATTGATACAGCTGAGATCGTTACAGTGGATGGGAGGCATCAAATTTTGTACAGAAGTGATTTCGCCTTTGGGTACCGCATGTCACCCTTTCAAGCGATGCAAGATTTGACAGCAATTGTGGCTGTAACATTTCGTCTGTTGCCTTCAGCATCAGTAAAGGAGCGTCAACAAGCATACCTGAGAAAGTAACAAGGATTTCAAATTTTGTTTCCTGAATTCTTCATTGTTCTCCTCAGAGATGCCAATGGGATATGATTTTTTTTACAGGAGGTTATGGTCTCATCTTGTGTGGGAACGAACTACTGGATCGGTGTTCAGAAATCCTCCTGGCATGGGAGTTTCAGCAGGGGAGCTTATTGAGAAGGCTGGACTGAAAGGCTTCAGAGTTGGCAGTGCAGAGGTTTCCAAAGTTCATGCTAACTTCTTCATCAATACCGGCAGCTCAAATTCCCGAGAGATGCTTGAACTCATTGGCTTGGTTAAGGCAAAAGTTAAAAAGGAATTTGGAATACAACTCCAAGAAGAAATACAATATGTTGGTCCATTCTGTAAATATTCAAGGATAAATTAGAGATTTGTTGAAAAAACAGAGAGAGAAGAAAGGTTATTGCTGACAATGAATAAAAATTCAAATTTGAATTCTCAGATGATAAGTTCCAAGCATTTTGCGTAATAGTGTTGTTTTTACATTGTTTGCTCACTATCCTAAGCTCCTTTTGTCAATGTCTTTGTGATCACGAGTAACAATTCCAATTGGACAAAACAGTAGACACAGAGAAACTAAATGCCGGGTCTTAATCCCATTCTCCAGTCCATCTAGATACACTTGCCTGGATAGTTGCAGGAATGAGGGAAGTTAGAAATTCATATGGGTATTAATCAAAATACGTTTTCATTATCATGTCATTCTGTCACCATGTCAGAGAGAGAGAGAGAGCTTGCAGCGAAGAGGTCTACAGCCAACAAGTGTATCCATGCAGAAGCTAAAGTCATCTCACTTGAGAACATCTTTGCTATACCAGACAGCTGCAATGAGCAAAGATTCACCAAGAAAGAAACTGGAGATGACAACCAAGATTAGTTTTCCTTTTTTTTTTTTCCTTTCTGATAACATAGACTTCTTGAAAATCATGGGGATATGCTAGTTAAGTATGTACCTCTGGCAGCCAATATTTACTTGCAAACATCAACCGTATGGAGGTATGCATAAAGAAGTCCAAGGACAACATATGGCATAGTGCTCTCAATGGACCTCTTAGTCTGCGTTTAAAGGGACCAAAAAGATACATATCATTTGACTTTTAATTTAATGTGGTTAACCTAAGCTACCTAAACAATCACAGAAAGCTTACCAGCTTAGCTTTAGGTGCCAGAACCATGAGGATATAAAATTGTAAAACGGCAACTATTCCCATAGAGAGAGGAGAAAAAAAAAGGAAGGAAGAATAATGGCCGTGGGGAGAATTATGCACCGCCGCTGTTCGAGAGCTTGAAGAGGATGAACAGTGGCGGTGAACAGTAGTTTAGGGCAACGAGAAACATTGAGTCATTAATCTTTGAGTTAAACGCATCTCAGCACTCATCAGTCTTCGAAGGAAAAACTGGGAAGGACATTTTTTACACAGTTGTTGCTGATGGTTGATAAAGAAAATTAGATAACACTTGAAGGGCATTTGTGTCTTTTCTTATGATACTTAACAATTAGTTAACGGTAAATATTAAATTGTGGCATTTGAAAGTTAGGGTACTAGATTGTGACGTTTTGAAATTCGAGTACTAAACTGTCACTCAGCTTAAAGTACAAGGTACTTACCGGAAATTTTCAAAGTGAAAACTTCTAACAATGCATAAATCGTCCCAATTAAACTTGACAATTGAATCAGTGAGTTGACTCATGATCCAATCCAACCCAATTTTCCGGGTCGGGTCATTCTCATATTCAGCCAACTAACCCTGTTTTACTAGTTGGATTGGATTATCGGGTCGGGTCAGCTTTTGCCTGGTCTAATTTTTACGCTGCAGGGAATCGGTCTAGAAATTCTTCTCTAGCGTCGAACAGTCTGTGCCGCGCTAAACAGTGTCACAGCGTCGTGCTAAAACAACGAAATGAAAGCATCTAAGGCCAGATGAACTGTGACGCGTCGTAGCAAAAGTGAAGTAGAATAGTAGATTCGCATTCGCTGCGTTTCGTAGGAGGAAAACGGGATCGCGGCATAATAAATAGTGGCGTACGAGAGACAAAGCATATTCTTACAGCGAAGAGTGAGTGTGTTACAATCACCATCGCAACGAGTGTTCAATTAAGCAGAAGAGTGAGTTTCAATGGCGGAGAAACCCCAATCAGTTCGCGTCTTATACTGTCCGGTTTGCAGTCTCCCTGCAGAGTATTGCGAATTTGGACCTGATTTTGAGAAATGCAAGCCGTGGTTGATTGAGAATGCTCCTGAACTATACCCCGATCTTCTCAAAGGTTATTATTCTTAACTTTTTCTATTTGGTTTCTTTTCGTGGAAAGGTGAAACCTCAATCACCGCTATCTTATTATCGTTAATGTCCAGACAGCAATGACAAGGAAGCTGATAAAGTTTCTGAGCAGCTCAAATCGGTTGGAATTTCTTCCAGTGGCGGTGATGGAACTACTACTGCAGCTCCTTCGGGTACTTCTATTGTTCTTCTTTTCTAATAAAATTTCTTTTGTTTGTTTATCTTTGCCCTCTTGCCTTTTGGAACTCTCGTCTAATGATCTCGTGTGTACCGATACCTGATCCCCCCTTTCATTTTTTTTTCTTAATTTTACAACTAAATTAATAGCCTAGACATGGAAAAACTAAGAGATGTACTGAATGCTTGAAGACTAAATGTTTGTAAATCAAACTAAACAATTTGTGTAATAAGATTAAATCATTTTAAAAGTGCTAGTTTTCTTTGAACATCAAGGTTTTAGCTGATGTTATGCGGGTGTTTTCCATGCGTTTGATTGAATGTAGAAACTTGGACGCACCTGCGTGTGCGTGAGTATATAAACTTGCATTCGAGCGTTGAGGATAAGCAATTACTTGCAAGCATGGGACAACCAGGAGAAAAGCCCAAATGCCTTTGTCTTTCTCTCACTCTCTGACGTGATGCCCTTTTTCTTCTTCATCTTCTTCTTACTCTAATTCAATCCCCGGCATGATTCATCTTTATTTTCTCTTTTCCCCAATCTCCACTAGCGAAAGCCTTAGGCATGCACTTACACCATCAATTTAGTATTCGTTAGTTATATGTTTAAACACATCTTAGCCATCAACCATTGGGTCGATTATGTTTTAAAGGATAATTACTGGTCATTACTGACATCTATTGTTGCTAGGAAAAAAACTATGAGCTGATTTTGGACAAGCTTATTCAAATTCTTCCCCAAGTTCTGTAGTGTATGATTTTTTGTTGTGCTAATGCCCATGGTATTGAAATGTGAGTTGTGTGTATTTTCTGCTTCTTTTACGAGATTCTTGTTACAACAAATATAGATGAATTTTATGGATTTGTATTTGTATTTCAATGTGTCTTTGTGTGTCACTACCCTGATTTGTTTCATAATTCAATCACCCTGTATGAACTGTTATGCATGGATGTAGGAGTTGTTGCAACCTGACACAGGCATGAAATATTGGACTCTAGCTGATACACCCAATAAATTTGATTTGAGGAACTTGGTGGATTTACTTATTTTTTTAATTTGTATTTTGTTTTTAGTTTATATAAATAATTCAAATAATTGATGAAAAAGAGAACAAATTAAATGTAGAAAAATAAATCAATGCAAACAACACAATACCATTAGGACTGTTTATAACTGGTTGTTTTATTACAAGTTTACAATCCATTTCCATATTCGGTCCTAACAACCCCAGATTTAATAATTGTGTATTATAGACCTGGAAAAGAGAATAATCCCCTTGATTCAGTCCTGCTTCCATGTCAGGTTATCCTGTCCAAAAATATAAAAGGCCATTACCCAATTACGAACCCAGGTATCTGGGGTTTTGGAAGGGGAGGGCTGGATATGTTTCTAACCGTTGACATTTTTTCTTGTACTAAGTATCTGCTCTCAGAGTTGAACTTGTGTTCTCATACTTGTCAATCTAAGAGTTTACAATTACACCAAGCAATGCCTCCTTAGTCCAAACATATGGACTGGCAGTAATTTGGCCATTCAGGGAGTGCATGTAAGATAGGGCAGTTGGAGAAATCAAAATTTGAAGAAGGTTTAGCCATTTAGGTTTCTTTACCATAAATTTCTGTAAGTATGAAGTCAAGCTAACCCCTGAGTTTCTGTTTTTATTGTTGCAGGGGGTACCTCAACATCTAAGCAAGAAGTAAAACGACTTCCTGGTGGGAAGATAAAGAAGAAAGTAAGAGTTGCAATTCATGGCAATTAGTTAATGGTCAAATAATTAATCAACAGATCCATTTTTAGCTTAATATGTATCTCATAGCCTTTAGGAGCATTAATTTGACTCAGCCGATTTCAAAGTTGATTTACACTCTATTTGTACATCCTATGCTGTTATTTGTTTTGCATGCCATTTCTTATGCTTGAGGCTTCTGTGATTCTGAAAATTGCATCTGGTTATTCCATCTTTTCTTTTTATTTTTGGTGGAAAATGAAAAGGATTTAGTCTATAAACTATACCAGGAGCAGGAGTTCCATTCTACATAATGGTTACAGTTGCTTGGTACAGCTGAAGCCAATACCTTCTTGTTCTCAATTGCCATGCCAGTTGCAGAGTGCCATTTGGAGTGGTAGTTGATATCTAAACTTTAAAGAACTCAAATGTATCCCTGATGTCTGTTTGTTGAAAACAATCATCATTTTTAATGATTTATTGAGATTGTAATATAGTCTATGTGGTAACCAATCTTCAGTATTTTTTATCAGTAACTGTAACGTCTATTATTCATAAGATTAAATTAAAAACAATACACTGCTTTCCAATAGAGCCAGACTATCTTAATTACTGGACCTTGTCATTTACTTGGTATGACAATGATTTTTTGATGGTTCTGCAATCATATCCTGATGCAGATGTTCCCTGTCAAATTACTTGTCTTCTTGATGGTTTATGGTTCTTTCTTGCACCAGGTTTGATATGTTCAGAAAGTATAGCCTTGTAAATGAAGTGCTTCTGATATCATCTGATACACTGATTAAAAGTGTTTGTCATTAACTCATTTTTGTAAGCTTGTTACTAGAACCAATCCACTGAACTTAAACAAACTTACAAAAATAACCATCAATTCCTTTTTTTCTTTTAGGGTAAATTACTTGTACCTCCTCTGGTGTTTCTGTCAAGTACTAAGACCTCTCCTTGGTCTACAATATTAACTTACTCATCCCTTGTAATTTGGTGTTAAGCTACTTGTTCCACCATTAACACCTTTTCATCAATTTTAATGACTGAAAGTCCTCAAGTGATATTTAAAACTTTCAAGAGTCTAATTCACCCTTTTGTTACCAAGGTTCAAAATTTCGATACAATACGCCCCATATCAGGCATATCATATCGTATTGGCAGGCCTCCAATACACAAAATAAAGGCCTCTAAGGATTTTTAATTGTTTCAGGGGGTAGACAGGTCTAAGACAGACCCCCTCAATCATTTTTGAAAGACAAAAAGAAAACTAAAAAGAGTTATAAGCTAACACACCCAATATGAAAGTTCATGCGTATTGGGTGTATCGATACTTTGAAACTTGTTTGTTACCTTATTGCATGCTATATGGACAAACATACACTTATAATCATGGGTAAAGCAGGCCTAGGGCATCATTGACATGCAGTAAGAGAAATCAGGAAGCTGGCACATAAATTAACAGCTCTTCCAGTGGACTAGAAGAGAAACAAATGGACTGATAGACGCCTTAGCCAAACAAGGAGTTAATAGAGACCAGTTGTTTTGGGGGATGATTAATGGGGATCATCAGATATTTTATTTTATAAAATAATCATAAAGATGAGTGTAAAGGGGCCTCAGCAGCCAAGGCTTCCTAAAGATTGGTCTTTGTAATTTTACCTTTGTACACACCACACAATTTGCATTAATAAAATTAAAAGTTATCAATAAAAAGATACTTGTTGATCCATAACACTAAGGTGTGAATGAGAAGTTGAAAACAGGTTTAAGAAAAAATAAAATTTATATGGTATGACAGTATTTGGTGTTTACAAATGAAGGTGATTTGTTAATTTTAAAGTATATATATTTTAAAGGCAGCAAAACTTACAATTTTATTGTCAAGGTCAATTTGGTAAAATGCACTATTTCTGTTAATTCTGTCTTCATGGTAAAAGGATTTATATTTCAACCTAATAACTAGTCCTGAAAACAGGCAAGATTTGTTTGGTAACATTGGCCCTCCACCTCCATAAAGGCCCAACTTCTCAAGGTTCGGAATGTGAGACATTTAACATCACACTAGCTACTCAAACATGTTGAGAGTTTCACTTGTTTGAATTGTTGAATGCCTGAAGCACCTTGGCATGATCCATATTTGTTTGCTTTCATTTTTACTTTGAATTTGTCATATATGTTATGCTCATGTGTTTTGGTTTGAGCCAATATGATTCTTAGAACATTTAATTTATTTTAGAACTATGGTTTTCCATATTTATTTATGTACTATTATTTTCTTTTCAATGACTTTCTTCTTGCTTCATCTGGATGTGCCTCTCCTCGTGCCTTGGGCCATAAGGGGTGAATTATTGGAGAGTTGATTGATATCCAATTCTGCTAGATGGGTTGGATTGGTAATTCCTTGGCTATGTCTGCATTGGATTGATTTCTTTGATGTATTGTTTTTTTTCTTTATTATGGGGTTTTAGTGTACAGTGACTGGTACTGAGATACAGGAATGGTCCTTTTTGTTGTTGCCCCCTGCCCTTTTGTTTCTTTTTTTTGGGCCCATATGATGTTTGTTAATTCACTTTCTTTCCTTTCCAATAAATTTCATTTTACTATCAAAATAACTGATCCTCTGATACAAGTAATCATTAATTATAAGCATAATTGTTACCATCATCACGATGATTGTGATAATTATGTGATAGCAATAATATGCAAGCTTGCTTTCTTGGCCTGCTGAGGTGGGATTTTGCTGGAGAGAGTGTACTATATTGTAACATATATGTTATTTACTTTAAGGGTACAGTCCTTTTTCAGCATATATGTACAAAATCATGTTTTTGCTTATAAATATGATGGTTATTTGTGGACTGCACTTACCTCACCTTCTCTACAGGGAAAAAAAAAGAATTGTTGGGTGGGTGTTGAGGATCTGTGGGGCCTGATTTATTTTATCATATTCTTATTTCATTGTTTTTTTGCATTTTATTATATTATACTTTACTTTTAGTTGTTTAATATTTGTATTGCTATTATCGTCTTAATTTGTTTTTTAATATTATTCTGGTATTTGCTGTTAAGCTGTAATTTTATTATTAATTGTTTATGTTAATTTTTAATTATTTGCTACAAGCCTGCATTGTGATTGTTAATGTTGAAATAATTGTCTTTAATTAATTATTTTATTGCTAATGTTTTCTGTTCTAGTGCTAAATGTTAACATTTGATGGATGAGTACTTGATACAAGCACTTAGAGTCACTTAGGTCGTTACTACTTCTGGTGGAAGATTTTGTAGGGCTTATGATTTGAGATAATGACCTTACATCCCCAAAAAAGTTTATGTAGTTGCATTCAGAGTTGTTTCTTGAATTTTGCCTATTTGCATTGATGTAATTAACCTTGAGCGGATGTTGCCATTAATTTATGCTTTATCTTAGTTCTAGTAATAGGAAAATGACACTGTGGGTGTGATTCTTTTGCAGGAGAAGCAAGAAGTTGTTATTGAAAAGATTGTGCGCAACAAGCGGAAATGTGTCACTGTTGTGAAAGGGCTGGACCTCTTTGGTGAGCAACATATTGTTGTTGCCATTCCTTTAACTTTATGATCAAATTGTGTTATAATTCAGGTCTGCCTTAGAGTTCGGCCTGACTGAGTTCAGTTATGTAGAAGAAGAAAAAGTGATAAAGAAAGAGAGAAAGAGAGAAAGAGAGAAAGAGAGAAGAGAGAATTCTGGTTTGAACTGAAAGAGTCAACTTGACTTCTCCCAGTCGGCCAGTAAGTATTTATATTATTATTAAAACATAACTGAAAAGACCTATGTGCCCTTACTTAAGTTAAGAGCACATGTTTCAATACAACATTACAAATCAGCAACATCAATCAAGGTATAAAGACAGAAATACCCCTACGCTAACACTCCCCCTCAAGCTGGTGAGTATATATCATATACTCCCAACTTGTTACATATGTAGTCCACTCTTCCCCGACTCAAGCCTTTTGTAAATAAGTCAGCCCACTGATTTCCTGTATTAACATGTGTAGTGTCTAGTTCTCCATTCAGCACCTTCTCCCTCACAAAGTGACAGTCAACCTCAATGTGCTTGGTTCYTTCATGAAACACTGGATTAGAGGAGATATGAACTGCAACCTGATTATCACAATAGAGCTTCATTGGAGTGTTAATGTTGTACCCTACTTCCTGTAGAAGGTTCCTTAGCCACACTAATTTACAAACGGTATGCGCCATAGCCCTATATTCTGCTTCTGCACTGCTTCTTGCCACAACCGTCTGCTTCTTACTTTTCCATGTCACCAGGTTACCTCCCAGAAACGTGCAATAGCCTGTAGTAGACCGYCTATCAGACATAGAACCGGCCCAATCAGCATCAGAATACCCTTCTATTTCAAGTTTTCCCTCACTCTTGTATATCAAACCGCGACCCGGGGCCCCTTTTAGATACTTCACAATTCTCATAACCACATTCCAATGAGGAATCAAAGGTTTTTGCATGAACTGGTTTACCACACTAACTGCAAATGAGATGTCTGGTCTGGTAATGGTTAGGTAATTCAATTTGCCCACAAGTCGTCGGTATCTGCCAGGGTCTTCAAACACTTCACCCATATCACTGCTTAGCTTGGTATTTGTGTCCATGGGTGTTTCAGCTGGTTTGGCACCCAACAAGCCTGTTTCTTCCA